ATTCCCGAAATCATAAACTTAACCGAATCGGCCGAAAAATCGTTCGGCCAATTTTTACAGGTGTCCCAGGAATTATGGTAATACGTAGCTGTTATGGAAACAGCTGCAATAGTATATCCGGATTGGAACTCTATTATGTACACGACTATCCTGATTTAAGATGCTTTTCATATCTTTTTATATTTCAATCCCTGTCATGTTATCGATTAATTCTCTTGATCGGCCAAATATTTCCCCTTTAGCATGATTGTTTCGTGCAACCACTTATAATCGATCATTATGCCCGTCATTAGTGATCCAAATCGTTAGTCAACTAGTTGACAACTTTCCAACTAATCGATTTGGAAAATTTTGAAACATCTAATTGATTAAATCATTAACTAGTTAAATTCCGAGATATTCCGTCTATCCGGGCTGGTTCGTGTTGATTTCTTTAGTTTGATTGGCCAATCAACAAATTTAGTCACATGATAGAAAAACTCGATTAGTTGCAACTATAGTTGGTAACTAACCGATTGAAAAATTTTTTACCAACTCGGAACACTACCCGTCATGACCATTAATTGCACTTACTTATTATGTACAACCATTACACCTATTATGTCAATTCTATCTGTTACGATTATTACATCTATATCGATATTACGCAAAAAATCATCACAAAAAGGTTGCAATCTTTCAACTCTATTAACATTAAAGAGGACAATTCATTCTTACGTAGATCTCTTATGTGTCTCATTGGTATACATACTAATCTAATACTAATTGGTGCACCATATTAAAGTTAAACACAAATCGACAAAATTTACACATGTTACGTACGATTTCACGTTCAATTATAACCTCTTGGATCGGATTTTCGTATCAATAGTGAAACAAACCCCAGGTTACAAACTATAAAACTCGGTATATAAGTTGTCTGATATCTTCCTAATTAACTTTAAAAATTCGAATTCGTTGAGAATGCATTCATCTGAAACAAAACCAGTAATTTATGGTGATATAAAAAGCACAGACTTGAGTAGATGGCGACTAAAAGTTGAACATGGTAAACAAACATGGCATTATTTGGATAATGATGATGAGGCTAAAAGTTGGCCTCAATCTGTCATTGAAAAGTATTGGATTGGATTAGCTTTTGTAAGTTTTTTTGTTTTTTTTTTAAAAAAAAAAAAAGTGAAATTCAATAAATTTGTACCCGGATGGTAGCTGACAAAAAAAAACAATTCATCAGCACTATCTCTAATCTCAATTTAAAAATTAATGCGAATATAAAAAAGGAATCGAAAACATTTGAAAAACCAAAAACAGCTTTTGAAGCTGCGCAAAATGGGTTCGAATTTTTTAAACAATTACAAACTTCTGATGGACATTGGGCAGGCGAATATGGTGGTCCAATGTTTTTGATAGCAGGACTTGTTTTCGCAATGTATATTACGCATATTCCTATCCCGGAAACTTGGAGAATCGAAATTACTCGATATTTGGTAAATAAAGCAGATCCTGTTGATGGTGGATGGGGGTTGTAAGTTTATTTTCCTATTTCTATCTTCTATGATAGCATCTTCTTTTCACTTTATATTATATTGAGTTGAATATGCCATAATTTTGAAATTGTTTTAGGCATATTGAACATCATTCAACAGTATTTGGAACTGCTTTGAATTATGCTTCGCTTCGTATCTTAGGTCTTGAACCCGATCATCCAGTAATGGTAAAAAGTAGAGCAACTTTGCACAAACTTGGTAAGTAGTTTAATGTTGATTTTATTATTATTGCAAGAATTCACTAATATTTTCATATTAATTATGTGCCAACTTTCGGGAACTCGATAGGAGGTGCAATCGGTGTGCCTTCATGGGGAAAATTTTGGCTAGCATGTTTAAATGTGTATGACTGGGAAGGGCTTAATCCAATTCCGCCAGAACTATGGTGATTTTCTCTTTCTCTCAAAAAAAAAAAAAAAAACTCTTTTTTTACAATTGTATCCTTAATTTCTTTTAATGAATGAAAAAGGCTTCTTCCAAGCTCTGTACCTTTCCATCCATCTCGTTTTTGGATTCATACTCGTGCAGTATACCTCCCAATGGGATATTGTTATGGACGTAGATTAAGTGCTGAAGTTACTCCATTAATCGAACAACTTAGGCAGGAATTATACATTCAACCATATGAGACGATTAATTGGTCTAGTGCACGAAATAATATTGCAGAAGCTGACCTTTATGTTCCGCATACTAAGCTATTAAAATTTTGCAATTGTATATTTAATTTGTTATAATTTATTCATTCCTTTGTAATTATTATTGAGGATCTAATGTATTTTGTCATTTTAGTTGTACTCAATATTTATGAAAAACTTCCTAATCTTATTGGACTTCGAGAACTTTCTATTCGGGAGAGTTATGAATTAATTAAATATGAAGATGAAAATACGAATTTTCTTGATATTGCACCTGTAAACATAAGATTTTTGTTATATTTCTTATTTTATTTTATTCATAATATTCATAATATTCAATATTGAGATTATTTTTAACTTGTTAGGTTAGTAAAGTAATACATATTCTTTGTACATATTATGAGGAAGGGCCAGATTCTGAAGCATTCAAGCTTGCCAAAGATAGATTAATTGATTATATGTGGCATGAAATCTTAGTTTTTTTAATTCATTTTTAAGTTTTATTTCTTAAATTATTATTAAAGTTTTTATTATTTCATTTAGGCTAGGTCCAGAAGGAATGATGATGAGTGGTACAAATGGCACTCAAGTTTGGGATACTGCTCTCGCAGCCATTGCCATAATTGAAGCAGGTAATAATTGCGTCTTTATCAAATTCAAGTGTTCAATTATTTAAACTTGTTCTCTTTAATAGGATTGGCAGATGATCCTTCAAACTACCAATCAATGATACATGCACTAGAATTTTTAGACGATGCACAAATAAAAACAAATCCCAAAGATAGTGAAAGATGTTATCGTGATAAAACATTAGGTGCTTGGGGTTTTAGTACTCGTGAACAGGGTTATACTGTTTCAGATTGTGCTGCTTTAGGTATTAAAGCGGTACTTGGTCTTCAAAAAAAACTTGGGTATGTTTTCTGTGCAAAAATTTGATGTTTGAAACAAATCATTGAAAATGTATGTTTATTTTTTGATAAAAAAAATTAGTTACACGCCAGATTTAATATCTAATGAACGACTTTGTCAGACTATTGATATATTATTATCTATGCAAAATACTGATGGAGGTTTTGCGAGTTATGAACGTACTAGAGGTCTAACAATTCTTGAATGGTTAAATCCTGCCGAAGTTTTTGGAGATATTATGATTGAATATAGTTATCCAGAATGTACAAGTTGTGTCTTAACAGCTCTAAATAATTTCCAGAAATGGTATCCTGATTATAGGGCTGATGAAATTAAGTAATAATTTTTTATAAATATTATTAAGATTATACATAATTATTTTATATATTAAATTTGTTCTTTAATGCTAGGGGAATTACCAAGAAAGCAATTACATACTTACATAATTCTCAAGATGAATATGGTGGCTGGTATGGTGCTTGGGGTATTTGTTACACATATGCTGCCTTTTTTGTTATTCCATGTCTTGAAAGTTTTGGCGAAACATATGAAAATAGGTATTATATATAATTTTATTTCATGGAAAATAAACTAATTAACTAAAATAATTTTTATAAATTAGCGAGGTAGTTAAAAAAGGATGCGACTTCTTGATTTCTAAACAAAAGGACGATGGTGGTTGGGGTGAATCCTATAAGGTTTATATCATTGTATTTAAAGTTTTATTATATTTTATTCTATTCAAGATTATTTATTTATTTTCTTTGCAAATAGTCATGTGAGGAAGTGGCTTATATACAACATGAAAACTCCCAAGTTGTAAATACTGCTTGGGCATTGCTTGCTTTAATGGCAGGTAAATATCCAAATGAAGAACCAATCCGGCGTGGTATTCAGGTATATATCGATTGATGCTACAAAAAAAGTTATGTTTTTATTTCAGCTAGATAATTAAATAGTACTTATATCTTTATCAAATCCGCCTTTTGTTGTAGCTTATTGCATCACGACAATTACCAACAGGTGAATGGAAGCAAGAGGCTATAGAAGGAGTATTTAACAAGAATTGTGCAATTTGTTATCCAAATTATAAATTTATTTTTACAATTTGGGCATTAGGGAAATATGCCAAACTTTACAATAATCCTGTAATTGTCTAGAAAAAAGAAAAAAATATTAGCAGTATGATATGTATATGGTTTACTGGATGTATATTTTGATTAATACCCATAGGGTATATACCCGGTATAAGAAAAAAAAAATACTATATACAGTCGCACTCTACCATCGGGACCCACAAAAAGTGCTCTTATATAAAACATATACTTATAATGTGCTTATATAGATTATATTTATATATTTAAAATAGCACAAGTTACTCTCGTTATAGTGAAAACCTTGGGCTATGAAAATTTCTTCACTATATTGAGAGATTCACTATATTGAAAGCCTCTCAATATAGTGAAGATATTAATCAAATATATAAATCTTCACTATATCGAGAGAAATAATAAAATACCCAAAAAATCTATTACATATAAAGCTACTTTTTAACATTATTACACCCAATTATAATTATTCTATTGCCAGTCGAAGTCTTAAGCATTCTTTAAAATCTAAGTAGAAGTTTGTCTGATTGGTTATGTAAATCAATCGGCTGGGTAACTATTTATACATTTTAAGAATCAATGAAGTGCCAGAAAATTAGGTACGCCATGGCATATGTTACAATCACATTTGTAAGGCAGTGAAAGTTCAGAATTATTAATGGATCCGTTTTTTTTTTTTTTGCTGAAAATAAAGCACCCAGAAACTGAAGTTTCATATTTTTATTTGTAAAAATTTGATTTAAAATATCCTATTCTAAAACCAAGCTAATCTAAAATAATAAAGTTTGAAAAAAATGAAATACAATTTTGCATTTACTCACAAGAATCTGATCGCATTTTGTCAAAAAAAAAAAAGGTGAAATTCATCCCTTCAAACAATGCTGTCTAATCAGTTTTTTTTTAATCAGTTTGTTCTAATTCAAAAAAGATTTACAAAAAAATTTCAACAAAAAAAAAGATCAAAAAAATTTTAAAAATTTAGAAAAATAATTTTTAAAAAATAAGAATCATCAATATTAAAGCTACCATTGAGCTATTGTTTAAAAAAAGTTAGTATCTTACAGATGAATCTTAAGACTTCTGCAAGTGATATCAGTTTGCATTGACTTTTTTTTTTTCTTTTCTTTAGGTTCAATACAATTATAATTCTTGGTGGCTTTAATTACTTCTTTATCAGTTGGCATTTTAGTGGTAATAAGGTTATTGTCAGCAATTACATAGGTTGGTCAAGGGGCAATTACATAATCAACTCCTGAATATTATTAGTAATATCAGATTTACAGCTTAATCAAGTTTTTTATACGAATATACTAAGAAAATTTTTAAGAAAAATTTCAGTTTTCTTTCAATAGTTACAGATTGTTTCTAAAGTTAAAAAACGTGATTATGTTTGTTAAACTCTTTTTTTAGAATTATTGCTTAAGTATATAGTATTTTTTTTTGTAAACTATAATGTTTGCAAAATATAATAATATTTTCAATGTTCAATTTTTTTTTATAAATTTACTAATTTATCAAAATGTTTATCAAAAAATGAAATATGCTAAGTTTAATTGTTATTTCTTTAATATTTTTGAATATATCAGTTTTATAATTGTACTGAATAGTCTTAATAAACCAAAATATACATAAATTATATTAATTTTTAATAAAAATTAAAAATTGTTAAAAGTGTTAAAACCAGAAACAGAAAACACTTAATATGATTGGTCAAGTTTTTGGAAAGAGATGAATAGAACAATAGGTGTACAAAAGGGTGTGGTAACCTAGTAAGTGAATAGGTTGTCAACCCCCAAGTGGCAAGTTTAGAGTTCAAATTCTAGTAACAGTGAAAATTTGCAATTTTTTTTGTGATATGGTTAACTGTCTTCTGTGATTGGTTGGGATTAAATACCTGTAACACATGTCATATCAGTATAACTAAAAGGTCTAGTCATTTATACAATGTTATATGAAAGAACATAAACTGGTACTGGACAGTATGAATTCAAGATAAGTTCTTAAGTTATGTAAATCACAAAAACCAGGTAGAAAGACAGAAGCCTACTTGAAAGATCTAAGTAGAAAAATAATTTAAATCTTCAATAATATTATTATAAAGACTAGACTTATGAAACAGAGTTAGAACTTATGAAACCAGTCAAATGTGTTGATCTTTGATAAGGAACTGTATGAACCAACCAGACCATCAGAATTTTCAGATTTTAGAAGAAAAAGATATATGTTAGTAAATATATAAACCAGAAGTGTATGATTTTGATCTATTTTTTCAGACTATTTAGAATAGCAGTTTGGTGGAACTTGAATTAAATACCAAAGTAGTAAGAATATGTTGTGAAATCAGTACTAGGATTGGGATAAACTCTACAAGTACATAGTAGTTTAATGATATGCCCTAACCATCAGTTTTGTTTCAGCTATAGCAATATTGAGTCAGCTGTAAGAATAAGATATAAAAGATTATAGAAGATTTAGTACAAGGTCAAAGGTTCCAAAAAACTGCTTTAAAGACTTAGTGAATATAGTATATTTTTATTGTCATTAGTTAGAGTTATTGGTAAGCAGAGATAGATGGATAAATACAGAAACTAGAGTAGTTAAATAAAGAACCTACAAGCAGGTTTCAGATATGACAGCTAGTGTAAAACCTTCAAATGAACTACTTAAATTAGACAATAACTAAAGTTATACAAGTGACTAGTTGTACACTCTTTTCATGATTGCTTCTGTAGCTGTAATACAACTATTAGTCAAATATATTATCAATAAAATCCTGGGTCACAAGTACTTATCTTAATATTTAAAAAAACAAAAACAAAAAACATATATTGCATGATAAGAAAACTTAATACAAGAAGAGCAATAATGATCAAATGCATAATAGATAATTTACCAATACTAGAAGAATTAAACAGAAAAAGATCAGAAATATATACAACAACAGATTGCCAAGTATGTCAAACAGGTGAAAAGAAAACTTGGTCACATTTGGCAAGCTGTAGTGAACAAAAGAGTTTGTAGAAAAGAATCCAAAAAGTAGCAACAGCAACATCATAAAATAGTCTTAAAGAAAATGAAAAAATCAAAATTTCATTTTGACTACTATACAAAACAATATTTAGAAAAACAGAAGCAGAGAAAATTATTAACAAAAGAGTATTGATAAAAAGGCTAACTATGAACAAGGTGGAAAAAAGGATCAGTTAGATTCTAAATAAACAGGCAACACAGAAATATATAGAAATAATAATAAAAACAGTATGGAATACATTCTATAACCAAACATGAAGAGTCTGATATAAAAAAGTATAAGAATGAAAAAAAATAATAAATATAATAAGCAAAATAAAAAAAGACACTTGAATTAAAAAAAAGTTAGAAAAAAGTACAAAAAAAGATGAGTTAACAACAGAAGAAGAAAAAAAATAAAGATAAAAAAAAATAAACTGAACAAAGAAAGAAGCTTGAAAAACAATTGATATGCTTATCACAGAAGAGGAAGACTCTTCTGATATGGCTTTAAGTAGTTAGACAAGCAGTTTATCTCTAACTGAGATAGTGTAGCAGGTTGCACTTAGGTACCAATAGAGTGGCCAAGTGATGCTAGACTTAGATATTAGAAAAATGTATATAATTATAAATGTATATAGTTTTAAAAATCTTAATAAAGTACTAGTATAACTGCTTAAAGTTAAAAAAAAAATAAAATAAAATTGCTAAATGTATAAATAATTGCTGCTAAAAGAAAATTTAAAAATTTAAATTTAATTATATTTAAATTTTTAGGTTTTTTTTAGTAATACTTAAATACTTTTATTGTTTCTTGAATTTTATTGTAAATATTTTCAATATCTAATTTAACTATTTAAAGTATATTTATTAAATTTTTTTACTAATTTATTTTAATTTTTTTAATAAACTTTAAAAATTTATATTTTGAATATATTGTTTTAATTTTTTATATAAAAAATGCTTTTAATAAAATTTTTAATATTCTTAATAATTTAAAGAAATTTTAAAAAAGTTTGTAGTTTTTAATATTATAAATAAAAATGATTGTTTGTTTAAATTTTGAATGTTTTTATATTAAACTTAGTTTTTTTTTTTTTTTTGGTATTAAGGTGACCTCTTTGGTCTTTTGACTTTTATTAATCACTTATCAGTATTGTGGTTCAATGAACCACTACAGGAGAGCATACAATTGGCTATATGTGTAACTTTTCTATATTACCTATTTAAGGAGTCTGCCCGAAGGTTCCCTACCAATTGCTATACCTAACACCCCTGCTTGGATGTTCCACTTTAAACCCTCTAAACCTGTAACCTGTGTTAACATTACTGGTCATCTCTGATGTATTAAATCATCATCCTCAACCTTAGGACTAATTTATCCTTGAGGTAAACCTCTCAGAGCCTTCTGTACTCATTTTTACAGCTGACCTAGGTATTGTTATGGCAGAACCAACACTTACGGTCAGGGCTAACCATTAAACTGCTATGCTCTTGTAGAGTTTACTTAGACCCTAGCATCTACTTCATAGCATAACCCTAGTACTTTAGTATACCTCTGCCTTTTGTCCAGCCTTTTTACCAAACTTCCAATTCAGATAGTCTATGTAGGACTACGATCAGTTCATCAGTATATTGGGTCGGCCCAATATTCTTTTCCTTCAGTTCGTTCTGGTGGTCTGGTTGGTGGTACCTCTGAGCCACCCAACTCAAAGGTTCTTGCCTGTCTGGCTACTATGACCAGGTACTATAACCTTGATATCCGTTTCTCCAGACTAGCCTTTACAGTAGGGCCATCAAAGATCCAGCTACCTCTCTACTCGGGTCTTCCCAAATGGACTTCTTGTTACCTAATTTCAATGGATTTATAAGGCCACGAGGACTTATCTAGTGTTTGCACCGCTCAATATGTCGGTTTGCATTCCTCTGTGTAACTCCAACATTGCACAGATGCTCTATGACCTGCCAGTTATGCTGGTGCAACCGCCATTACAGGTATCCTAACCCAACTATTAGTAACAGTTGCCGTAATATGAATATTA